GCATCAGAACTCTTGGTGGGGCGTTGGGCTGATGGAGCACCCCTGATGTCTTAATCAGATCTCTTACAGATGTTGAACTCCGAGACTTGGGCGTTGAGATCTTGGACTGATGGAGCGCCCCTGATTTGTAAATCAGAACTCTTACAGATGTTGAACTCCGAGACAAGGGCCTTGGATTGATGGAGCGCCCCGTATGTTTAAATCATTTTCCTATAGATCTTGGACTCCAAGGATATAGATGGGGCGCCCCTGATTTTAACAACAGAACTTTGATAGATCTTGACTTCTGAGGATAAAGCCTTGGACTGATGGAACGTCCCTGATTTTTGAATCAGAACTCTTATAGGTCTTGAACTCCGAGGATGAAGCCTTGGACTGATGGAGCGCCCCTGATCTTTAAATCAATACTCTTACAGATCTTGAACTCTGCGGATGGGGCCTTGGACCGATGGAGGGCGCGCCCTTGATGTTTGAATCAGAACTCGTATAGATCTTGAACTCTGAGGATAGAAACTTGCACTGATGGTGCACCCCTGATTTTACCAACAGAAGTCTGATAGATCTTGACCCCTGAGAATAAGGCCTTGGACTGATGGAGCGCCCCTGATTTTTAATCAGAACTCTTACAGATCTTGAACTCCGAGGGTGGGGCCTTAAGTGATGGGTCGTCCGGTAAGTAAGGCAGAGCCTTTAAACATATTGGAATCTTGGACTGGGACATATGGACGCCCTTGATTTTCTAAATCAAAGCTCTCATAGATCTTGAACCCTGATTCCTATTTTAAATCAGAACTTTTACAAGCAGAGAACTCCGAGGGTGGAGCCTTCGATTGATTGGGCTCCCCTGATTTCGATACCAGAACTCTTGCAAAGCTTGAATGCCGAGGATGGAGCCTTGCACTAGTCGGGCGCCCCTCTTTTTAACTCAGGACTCACTAAAGTTGAACTCCGAGGATGGAGCCTTCTACTGCTGGGTCGCCCCGGACTTTTAAATCAGACCTCTCACACACCTTGAACTCTGGGGATCAAGCCTTGGACTGGTGGGGGCGCCGCGTATATAATGAGCACGCCTACAGTACGTCTGACCGAAAATACAGATTGAGCCATTTCCATACGTGCTCCTCCTTTCAATAAGGAGCACGTATGGGATGTAGTTGGGGTGAGTTGTTTCGGTCATGCGGGCCAAACAACCAAGGTTGGGCGCACACCATCTCATAACCCGAAGTCTTATACAACTGGATCTCCCAGGATGGAGCCTTGGACTGGAAAGCCCCTGATTTTAACATCACGTGTCATGCGAAACGCATGCTCAGTCAACTGTCATGCGAGTCATGCATGTGAAGCTGCCCTCGCATTCTGCTCGTGGCCCTTGTGTTGTGAAAGCGGCTTCGCAACGTGTCTGCGCCTTCCTGGACCGTAGCCTCGACGTGTGTCTCCTGAAGCCGTCTTCGCCTACCTAATGTGCCTTCAAAAATTCGTCTTCGCCTATCCAATGTGTCTTCGCAATGCGTCTGCACCACCCAATGCGTCTTCACAATACGTCTGTGCCTGCCAATGTGCCTGCGCCTTCCAATTCGTCTTCACCCACTGCGTCTGCGCGTATTCGGCCTTTGTTTGACGAATGCGTCTTCGCAATGCTGATGCGTCTTCAGGTCGTTTGCCACACCCCCCCAAGACGCCGCAATGTATATATACATATATATTTACATGTGTGTTTGTTAGTTTATTTATTTGTATGTACGTATATGTATGTATGTGTACTTGTTTTTGCAATCTTCAATCAATAAACTGTAAAGGAGATTTGGAGTTGGTGTAGGGCAGCTGATGGTTTACGAGGTCCTACCACATCTTGTGGACTTTTGAGAGAGAGCTCACCCAGCTCAAGCTCAGCCGGACTTCTGTGGCAACATGTGGCAACTTCCGGTCTGACCTGCGTCTCACGCGAGACGATGGAATTAATTGCCTGCATACCGCAAAGGACAAAACCTCACAGTTTTCACTTGAGTATTGCCATATCGTAACCAATAGCGAAGCATAGTTTTTCGCTCATCTTGTCATGCACAACGCTTCGGTCTGCAACTTCCCAAAGAACCCGCCCAATCCAGGCCCCGCCATTCTCTGTGCCTTAACATCGGTGAAGAAGCTCAGGGGATCTGCACCTTCCAGTAGCGACGTCGCACGCTGCAGGCGGACAACCCTCTAGCCGGTCCGTGTGCAGCTTGCCCAAGGAAGGGGGCAAACCGAGCCTTCCTGTAGCCCCTGTGGCCTCAGTCGTACGGCGAGCGTGCGGGGCCCCTCCACGAGGCAGCAGCGCGCTTCAGGGAAAGTCCCGGCTGGCATCCACCCTCATCCTAGCCCACTTGAACGGGTAGCAAAGCGCAGCGAGGAATAGGCGAACTCCCCGTTCCCTGGCGTCCGGACCCATGGACTCGAGGTCGTCGGCATAGAGTATAGCAGGAAGCTGGGTCCCAGCAAGTGGTAGTCTGGTAGTTCAGCCTTAACCCGCATGCCACGATGTTTGCCCACCGGTAGCTGGTGCAGCAAGTATAGCAAGTTCGCCGGTACCCACCAGGTTCACAGACTGTCTGGCTGTCGGGGTCCACCGGAATATGACTTCCTCAGTGTTTGTCTAGCAAGCGAGGTAGCCGTGCTCGTTAGCGAACCTCCAGTGCGATGTCTCCCACCACCGAGAAGGCCACATGTGCTCACGGAGATTCACCAAGTAGTTGCTTCTTGTCTCTAGGCACCCGTGCTTGTCCGGGCAGCCACTAGCGCGTCGATTGTTCTGTGCTCGGCATAGCGCTTCGTAAACTCCCCCAAAGACATTTTAGCCATGAGCCCCTCAGCCACGTCCTCCTCCAATTTCTTCCGAGCGAGTCCCGATGCTTCTCGTTTGAAAGGCCGCTAGCCAGGGTCTGAGCCAGCTGTTCGAGGATTGCCCGAATCAGGTTGAGCTATAGCGGTTGGCCCGGGCCACATCCAGTAGCCCTAGCTCAGAAAGGTCTTGGGCCTCGAGCCAGCTCTTCCAGAGCTGCCGCAGATCCTCTTGTAGCTGGGGGTTCGCTAGCATTGCGCATCGAGGCGCACCCTTCTCGCCCCCAGCTGCCATATTGAAGGTTTTGTTTCCTGGCTGCATCTCATCAACCGCGCATGCCGCATGCGGAGGTCGGGGCTTCATCATCGCTCCATCGTCTCAGCCAAATTCAACACAACCCGTAATTGGCCCAGCACTCAATGCATACCATAAATACCCCACAACAACGGTGGCACAGAATGCAATGCAGTGATTAATCAAACCACTACCAAATCCATGCTGTCAAAACTTGCCTCTGGCGTTGCACAAGTCGTTGTTCGTTTTTTGCTTCCTGAGTGCTGGCCCTCATTGGATCTCGTTGGCACGTTCCGACCCTCGCAACAACCCCCCGGGGCATGAATATGGTCAATGCAGGTGCAAAATGTCTTTCGTTCATGTTTGTGGCATGGGCTTCCCCTTTGCAGTTGAATCAAGTGGGTATAGCAGCGCCAAGCGAGACTTACAAGACAAATCCTGGACTGTGTGCAACTTGCTCCCTGCCGTACGGAATACTTGCAGAATATGCGAAAACCGCACACCGCATGCGTTGTTTGTTGAGCCAGTCCAGAGGCGTGGACTCTGTCACCGCGTTCAAGTCCATTGGCACGCGCGTCGCGCAACCTGAGGCTCGATCTATTTCCCCACTTCAAGGACATTGTTTGCCTAGGGGTACTTGCGAAAGGAGGAATTCGCTGGAGGCTTCCACACAAAGGTGGAGGCAGCTGTTGTGCTCAGGGGCTGTGGTTTGCCGTCGATGGCAGTTGCTAGCCTTGGGGCTTCGATGTTGTAAGACTGGGCGGGTCAAAGAAGCTCTTCGATTCGTGAGTACTAACACGATCAAGGTTACACTGCTACACTGCCTAGACGTCCTGCATTTCAAGACTCTTGTATCTGCCAGTGCGTCATGCTGACACCTACAACGAGTAACTATAACCTACTATAGCTTCAGCGCACTGCTCTGGGTCCTTGTGCCTGCCTCCCTGCCTGCTGACTGGCCTCCCTCCTTTTGCCCTCCTTCCACCTAATTACGTGCCTACCTACCTGCCTACCGACCTACCCACATAAATCCAACGTTCATCTGTGCCAAACGCACTGACAGCAGAAACCTCCACACATGCAGCCACCAAACCCTCAATCCCAAACCTTGCGACTAAACTCACCAATTCAACTTCACATCTGACATAGACACTGGGGGAGCCCGACAACTGAGCCTAGCTTCCTTGGATATGTTCGTCGCAGGAAGAGAAGATGAACGTCGGCTTGGCCTTCTGTGCCTGGCTGCCCTGAGTTGTCCTGGACTACAGTCTACAGGCCGTCCAAGGAGTGGGCTCGCTAACATGGACAAAGAGGTCGCCAAAATTGGAATCGTCCGGGGCAATGAACCCGAAGCCCTGTGACATGGAGAGCGAGGGCAAGGATCAACCAATCAGCACATCAAGAGTTAGCATTGCCTTCTCCTCAAGCCAGGTGGTCACCAAACCTGTGGGCATCTATCCTCATGGCACCCAATGCCTCCAGAGCCTCACTATCTACCCTTGTGCCGAAACAGGTCGCCGCAAAACTCGAGGATGCAGGCCTCATGAACTGGCCCATGATACTCATTGCTTGTGGCTGGCGCGGAAAGGCTGATAGCCGTGCGGACATCTTTTGAACTTCAATGTGCTCGAAACGATTTATGTCCTGCATCATCATCGGTCCATGCTCACCTAGAAACTGCAGCTCCACATGTTAAAACCAGATGCCCCGAGGTGCTTGTGCACTCTCCTGGCAGCCGACTATTCGCTGCCACTGTGGAAGTAGGCTGAATTTGAAATCTGCTCAGTTCGAGCAGTTACCAACATCTGTTTGCGCTTCAAAAGGCAGCAATACGTGGCAATGGCTCAACTTTGCAGGATTGAAGAAGATTTCGGCAAGTGCTGTAGGCTGATCAATCTTTGATCTCGTCGACGCCCTCAGACACGATCCGCTCGAGTGGCGCGAAGCTTTGGGGCAGGTCCAGCCTTGGCTCGGCTAGATTTCCGCCAAATGAAGAGACGAAAAGGAGGGCAAGCAGGGCTTCCGGCTTTTTCGTCGATTTTTCGCCAATTTGGCTCCATGCTCTGGGAGTCAGGACCTCTCGTCGACATAGAGCATCACTTGCGCCAATCTTTTTGTCTCGTGAGGCCTCCGAGTTCCTACTCGCAGATCGGGCGAGGCGATACTTCGAGCTTGGCCTGAGATGGCAGCGAACACTTGCAGCAGTGTCTATAGTCTATCGCTGAAGATATCATCAAGCTCCGGACACGTTCACCTTGTGCTTCTCTCCATCCGTAGAGAACCACGGGTGCTGGAGGGCTTGCTCTGCAGTTGCTCGTTCGGAGGGGTCCTAGTCGCAAAAAATTCGCATCTGCTGGTAGCATTAATGGTCACCACGATTGAAAACAAGCTGTCCAGCACGAGCAACTGCTGCAGCAGTTGCAAAGACTCGGCTGATGCCACCTTCAATTCCGTTGCCGCCAGTGCTTTGGACAGAACCTGCACCAACGACAGACACTAGGTCATGCTTGCGCAGAACTTGGTGTAGAACGTGCGCAACCCGGCAAGCTTGTGGAAGCGACCCTCAAAGCAACACAGCCTACAGATGGTACAGGCATACAAGGAATAAGCAGGAACAGAGGGCTCCAAGTGCTGGGCCAAGCCGGCTTCACTGCCTCCACGGCCAAGTCTCCGCACCTGCAGGTTCGGAATGGTGCACATGGCACCGATCACAATCATGACTCGCAGAGGCTGCCTGAACACCGAGTGAATTGGAAGACCGCAGGACTACCGCGCATGATTCACAATGCTTTAGGGCTGCGCCGTGTGAGCCAGGTACAATTTCTCACATGTTCTATCCAATCATCTCCCCGGCTCGAGCTGCTTGCAGGGGGATCGACCTCTTTGCGAAGCCGGCGAAAGAAGACGGACAAAGGCGGAGTCGGTATACGAAATGAAGTGGACGCCAAAACGAAAAGGCGTTGGACGTCAGATATTTCGGATCACGGTTTGCTTTGTCGCGGTGCATCAAATGCCTAGGCCTAGGCTGAACAATGCGAGAGACAACTTCCTCGATTGCAAAACTCACGGCCCCTTGCGCAGTAATATGCAGCAATACTTTATTTAGGCCGAACTGGAGGAATCTTTTGCGCTTCAGCTGGACAGTATATTGACTGCCACTTGCGAGGGAAATCAATTGTTCTGCAACTTCGACCATATAGGCTTTGACCTGAAAGCCTTTCCGGTGCACAGGTTGCATGAATCACTTCAGCAACGCCAAATACCATTTCGAAGGCTGCTTCAAGTGCCTTGTTCCAGGTCCGAGTGTTGTTGAGATTCGGACGCTGCGCTCTGGTGATTGAAGTGTCCAAAGGACCGGTCATGCCAGGTCGCCAAGATTCGCCAAGGGCAGAACAACGGGGATGAGGTTCCTTTTTCGTGCCTTTCCCGCCCGACCCCGTGTCCCACGGACTGCCGGAGCTCCAAAGAGAATGCTGAGCAAAACTGGATTGCCAAAGTGGCATGAACGTCTCCCACGGTCGCCTCTTCCTCATTCGCAGGCCTCGGAGGGTCACTTAAGAAAAATGAAGTCATGCTCACGCGTTTGATCTCCGCAAACTGCAACTAATCAAGCCCTAGTACATGCCATTGACGTTGATCGCGCCCGCTGAGCCTCGCGCGAATCCCCCGTGAGCAACACGTAAAGAATAACGCCGGCCTTGGCAAGGGTCACTCATCGTTGAAGAACGGGACACACTGAGGCATGCAGCAAACATCAGGTGAAACCCAACTTTGAGCCGGCATCCGACATGATTGGACGAGGTGCGGCCCACAAGTCCATGGCTGCCAGGTAGGGTGCCGAAGCTCTGGCGCCCACCACCTGAAGCACTTGTGGCACATCCCAGGGATGCTGGAGTGGTGCTCTGGTAGCTGCACTGAAGCCTCTGGCGCCATGAACATCAACGTCCCACAAACTGCGCCATCCCATGCCTCGCCTCACTTTTCTTGAGAACCATGCGGCACCGCCGAAGCGAAATGTCAAGAGCGACCACGCTCTGCTGTGACTGGCACCGAGGCTCATGGCGAAGCCGAAGTCCAGCAATGCAAGGGGAGCGTTTTCAGCCTGTCCGCAAAGTGGGCCGCCGGGGCCCCAGCTCTCTCTCTCCGCAATTGTGCCTTACTTCGAAAACGGAAATTCGAGAGCTTGACCTTGGCTTTTGCCACAGGCTTCACTCCCATGTTTGTAGTTTCGATCTCGGCTTTGCCATGTTCGGAGAGGAGCTAGTGCACTGCCGAGAAAGGGGGAGCCAATCAGATCCGCAGCACCATCATGCAGCAGTCTGATCTGACTGTTGAATGTGTTGATGTGTAGATCCGAGACTTGTGCAGTGTCTTGCAGGCAAGACATACTGGCAACATATTCGTGGAATTTACTTTCAGAAGCGCTGTTGACGCTGCCGTTATTTGAAAAAGTCAACCGCAAGCACCTTCTCTAGATGCCTTCCCTGTTCGGCAGCATGTGTCTCCAAATCTCACTAGATTCTTGTCTTTTTTCTCTTTGTGTTTCGGTCGCAAGGGACAGGGACCGGGGTTGCCCCCGGACCGCGTGCTAGTGCGCACCCCACCTGTTCCGGAGAGGCTTGAGAGAAAGCAATGGCTGCGTCCACGCTGCATGCCGCGGGAGTAACAACTCCTCTGGAACGTCTGGACATAGGTACAAAGTGACCCGTGCAGGGGATGATGATCGGAATGGGGTTGGTTCAACGGCCCGTCTTATTGTACGAGCCCTAGCTTGGGCACAAGGCGATGGGAAGAGAAGACTATGCGATTCGAAATGAGATGTGGCTCACGAAACATCTCGAAACGTTAGTTACTATAGGAATAAACAGGCTAGCTCAGCCAAAGGTTTGCAGAGGCTCTGTGGGGGTTTCCCCGCTGTGTCCACGGACCTCAACGGTGCCACTACTCGCCGACCCAGGGGGAACCACCACCACAAGGGCATCGGCGATCCTACGCCGAGAGTACCTCGACGATAACTTCGTGGCGCCGGCTACGTGAAGTACCAAATTGTGATTAACGTGCAGCCTGAGAATGGCCACAGCTTTGGGAGCTGCAATCAGGTGTTCGCAAGAGGACAGTGCCTGGGCAGGAAGCGGCAAGCGGGGGCGGTCCCGGATGCCGCCGATGGAGGGCCGTCTTTCCATGGAGGCCATGATCGGGAAGGCCCAGAGTTGCCTGTACGGCTGCGATGCCACCAACCACATTGACATCCAAGCTTTTCTCAGGAAGAACGCTCGGCTGGAGGCCCGCCAACAGGATGGCAGGGGCGAGTCCGCCCCAGCCAGAACCAGGCCCGCACGAAGGTGCCGAGATCGCAAAACTTGTGCGAAAGATGTATTCGAGGGGCATCTTTCCACAGCAGACATGACCGAAAGGCCCCGAGCTGTCTCCTCTACGGCGCGGACAACGTGGACAAGACTAAGGTACAAGAGCACTTGCCAGATCTTGCCAGCGATCGGGGAGGTACCCCGCGCGGTCCAAAAGCATGTAGTCGACGAGGAAGACAAGTTGTGTCTGACTTCTGTGCTGGCACTGGTTTCGGTTGTCCACTGGGGGTTATGTGGTGGTCAACGGTGGTGGTGGCACAAGGGCTGCTGAAGCACTGGCACATGCTCTAACCGGGGTGGAAGGACCTGCATGTCGATCCCCTTTTGGCTTCATGGGGATGCCCAGAACATCGCTCAGTGGCTCCAGCAAAGGGTCCTCTGCATCCATGTTGTCGACGATGGTGGTCTTAGGGGCCTTTCCACGCTTGGTTTCGAGGACTGCTGCTAGGGGTCGCTGAGGTCGAGAAACTCCCGGACCAGATCAGCAACCACCCGATGCCTTCGCCTTTCACCTCTTCTGGGACCAGACACGAGTACAAGAAGCTCCTGGAGCCTTGTAGCCAAGCCCAGAGGCCTGAGCACGCTGGCCGTTAAAACGGGAGACCTGGCATCAAGACCGCACCAGAGGGACCCCAGAACGCGAGCATGCAAACCCGCCCGCCGTGAACGTGACGACCACGGAGGAGCACAACAACGAGCCCAACGACATGCAAGGCAACGAGGACGACGAAGGCTACCCTTAAAAAGAGACGCGACGCCCAGGAATCCTTTGGTCCTGCACACCCGCCAAACCAAGGGTTGCAGCCAATCTTTGATATCTTCGACGATTGTTCGAGAGCTCGAGTGAAGAAGCGGCCAAGATGGAAGCTGAGACCGGGGAAGCACCGCAAAATACCCCACATCAACGTGGCAAACGCTGCACATCCTGAACCAACGAGGAAGCCTCCAACCGTTTCGAAAGGCAAACAGAGCGACTCCTTCAACGGTACCACCACGGGGAAGTCTCCCGGGAGACGCTCAACTGGAGACGGTACAGAGAGCAGTGCAAGAAGAGTACACAGACCATCGGAGGGACAAAGGCGGCAGCACGACTGGCAGCCCCACTTCAAACATCGACGAGAAGGGGGTCAGTGAATGCGGGCAAGTGAGAAAGGGCGGCAGGGAGTGATTTCCAGTTGGAACAGGATTTCCTCTCTCCTTTTTCCGATTTCTGAATTCGTCCAAAAGCTGCCTTTCGTGAAGCCTTTCCAGACCCGTACTCGTCGAGGCGGGCCTTCGGCTGGGTCTGCGCAATGGATCACTATCTTCACCGGGAGCAATGGCGCAGCTACACGTGTTAAGGAAGTGAAAGGGCCCCTTGAACTTGCGGCTTCGGCGACGGACTCAAGCCCACCTCCACTCAGAGGGACGCCCACCCAACAGGCTTGCGGCGAACAACAGCAAACCCAGAGGGCCGCCCTCGAGTGCCCCCAGAATGGAAGCGGCAGAAATGGCTACTCTCTCTGTCTTTCTTTCCCAAGGCTTGACGGCGAGCCCCCGTGGGAGCTGCCCGTTCTGTTGGCTGGGTGTACGTGCAACAAAGGTTCTGGCACCCCACGGGCGGAGCTTGTTTGGCTAGACTAGTTGGTTCTGCTCCGCCTTCTCGTGCCGTGCTTTGTGGGTTTTCCACTGAGTGTGTCTTGCCTCGCCCTGCTCTTTCAAGACTTCTGCTAACAAACCCATAGCAACACAGTGAAACTTCTCCAGGGTTCGGGGTGGCTTCAGCAGTTTGTGGAGGCACTCAACTACAGGAGCCGGCTTCTGGACACAACAACCGTACTAACACCTGTTTACAACACTGATTAGAGCTCTACGCTCCCTCGCATGGTTTGTCACCCCGATGTGTCACCGAAAGGCGCTCTGTGTAGCCGGGGTTGCAGTGTAACTCTGAGGCCCCAGCTGTCCATGCAGGAAACAATATGAACAAACACTCTCTGGCCTACTTGCAGGTACACCTCCGGGGCCTCACTCCGAGTCTCTAGGTCTAAGCAGGCCCCGCTCTTGGGTCAACAACAGAACTCTCTTTCTCGCGCTTTCTTTCGTTGTGGTGCAGGGGTTACCCCCTACCCCTCTCTCTCTCTCTCTCTTGCTTGCTTGCTTGCTAAGGGGTGTAGGGGCTGCGCGCAGCCCCTCGGCCCGAAGGCCTACCCCCTCGCGGCGCGCCACGTCCAAGGTCAGTTCCCGAGTGCCCTCAGGCCATACTTCTCGACCACTAGACGTCTAGGTTCTGCCCCACTGCGACTGTGGCACCCAGGCAGTCCTCACTCCCAAGGGAATTGTCGGCTTTGTAGCCCTGTGCGAAAGCTTGTCGGCAGGCTCCACACCCCGATGAGCTCGCAACTGCGAACCTCGCGCAACTGCACTGCCTTCACCTGCCCGCCCCCTCCCTGAACTGTGCAGCTGTCTCCTTGCCCCCGTTCCAAGCGATATCACATGACTGCCATGGAACCCATTCAGGCGTGGGTCTGTCAGACGGGCTTGCCGCTGGTCGTGTAGGCCCCGTCAAGGTACTGGCCGCCCCTTCACCATGATCTCTGTGCCCGTTGGCGTGTCCGACAGAGTCTGGCTGTGCCAAGTGGAGCGGGCCCAGGTCGTTCTCCCCCACCAGTTCCACCTCCTCTACGCAGTGCTGAGTTGACCATGCGACAAGCTCCTGCAATGCATGGTCCACTTGCTTCCGGACCTCCCCCGCCAAGGAAAGGAGCGAGGCGCAGGAGACGGGCTTTGGCTGCATAAACCAGACGAGAGTCTGGTGGGCTCACATCCCCCTTGTTCCATTGCTCCCGGTCACCTTGTTGCAGGCCAATGACGTTGGCCGGGTGCGTTGCGAGGCCCAGATTCTCGGCTCTCCCTTGAAATCCACTTTGCCGCCTCATCCAGCAGGTTCCGTAGGGTGGCCAGGTGCATTTTCTTTCTTTCTGCCGGGCTTAGGGGTCACTGTCGTGACCCTCAGGCTTTCAGCCCGCCCGTCCACCCCCTGTGTTAATGAGTGGGCGGCATTGGGGTCCCACTGACCGAGGCAAAGAAAAACAGAATATGCCCTGAGCATCTGAGCCTCATCGGCGCGCCCTTGTGGCAACCATTCGCCGGGGTGGCTGCTCGGAAAAAGTGGGCAAACCCCCCATGCAGCAGCTGTGGGAGGGTCAAGACTCGACCTGAAGTACGGCAACAACCGAGACCTCCGTATCCTCTCTCTCTCTTTTTCTTTCTCTCTCTCTCTCTCTCTTTCTTTCTCTCTTTCTCTCTTTCTCTCTCTCTCTCTCTCTCTCTCTCTCTCTCTCTCTCTCTCTCTCTTCGCTTCGCTTCGCTGGGGTTAGGCTCCAGGAGCCCGCTCTCTCTCTCTCTCTCTCTTCGCTTCGCTTCGCTTCTCAGGGGTAAGGTTCGCACGCGAACCCGGGCCCAGGCCCCCCCTTCCCCGTTTAGGCGGTGGAAGAGGCTTTGGGGTCTTCAGTGGTCGGGAAACTTTGGCCTGGTGGAAGGTGCGGTCGGTGAAGTACGGCTGGCGAGGAACCCATCCCTCCCTTTACACTAACGCGCGTCCCGGCCTCGTCTCCGCGCTCTCTTAAGCCTAGTCCTTAGTCCCTCGCCAGCCAGGCACTCCCCCACGCAGAACCACCGCGGCCGGCAGACATTCCCCCTATGCAGCAACACGGCTAAGCACAGGACGTTGAGGGAATGTGGGGTAATCAGTGCGCAGAAGCGTGCCACAAGTACAGGCTCGTTCCCCCATCGGCCAAGTTAGTCAACTACTTCGGGTCCCCCGCATGGGCAGTAGGAAGCAAC